AGTCCAGATTTAACATTAACTCAAAAAAAAATTTTTTTAGAGTTTCCTCCCTTTCTATTGCAAAGCTTCCATATGATGCCAAGAGTTTCATGAAAGTACATGCAAATAGAATCTTCATACCTTTTCACAATGTAGATCTACCAGAAAGACACTTTTAGTTTTACGCCTAGCAATCTCGAAATTGCGAAGTTCTCAGTCTTTCATAATATATGCTTTTGTTGTTAATATTTACTTTTACAGTAGGTCCTGTATTGCGTGTAGACCTCCTTTCACATTTTTCTCACATTTGTTTAGGAAAAAAAGATAGAGGTATTGGTTAGCGAACATATATGCAAAATTAATATGTGAAAATATTGCACAGACCTATTATGTGATCAGCCTATTTTGTAATACAATTTGTGACTCAGCAAAAAAATATTCTAAACTGATGGATTACTGCTCCGAACTAGTCAGAGTATCTTAAACGGAGAGGCATATTATTATTATAGACATCTTCACCCTTTGATTCAGTCTCATCCTCAAAGCTCAAATATTCAGACTCTATTTCAGTGTATTTCGAATCATAATACTCACTTAGATCAATATTTCTCATAACTTTATGATGTTTGAAAAATTTGGCTAATATGACTTCTCTATCTGAATCTGTTGCAATAAATTCAGAAAATAATAGCTCGTAGAATGTATGCAATGAAAGAGGTAATTCCCAAAGATTTTTTCTATAGTGATATCAACTTTTTTCCCTTTTTTGTTTTTCGATCTCTTTAGGTTTATTAACGCACTATGATGGGGTTTGATGTCTATCAACAGCATATCCTGTATGCATTAGCCATACAGTTCCTAAAACCAAATCATATTCAGACTTGTTAACAACTACAAAATTTGCTGTATCCTTTCCAAAATATGAAGGGAGTACTATATCATCAAAGATATTTAGCAAAGCAACTGAAACTTCTTCTCTATCAACCCATCCCTTCTCATCACTTTCTTGCTAGCATTTATTATGCTAATACCTAGGTTTTTCACTGCATGATATCCTAATCCATATTCTCTAGAAATATATAAATCTATTTTTTGGGCAAGCGTCTTACTAATACTATCATGGAAGGATTTGGGATCAATAAGTGTTTTAACAGTTACTTTAGCTTGAATGAATGTACAATTCACTATTAATCTTTTGCGAATTTCTCGAAGTGCCTCATCTTTCCATATATTATTTATAGTACAACATTTTTAAGATCCTATATCGACAGATTTTTTAGAATAAATTTTATTAGTTCTGGCGTAAGCTGATCAAGTAAATTAACTGTATACATTTTATATGATTCAGAGATTTTTAATCAGAAAAAATAAGGCCAGTAATACACAATTTGTTGCTTAGCAAATTATTCTGAGCTGATGATTTCTGCTCCAAATCAGCCTAAATGGGAATGGTCAAACAATCATCTACAGAGTCTTGAATCTTAACTGATGAATGGCCTGTTTGTTTAACCAATCCTTAATCTCTACAAGAGTAAACTTATATCCGATCTGGTCCCGGAGAAACCTTTTCTTACAAACATCCTATATTTTTTCAGCGGTTTGATAAAAACCTTCAGGCTGATAATACAACTTTTTGAATATAAGATCTCGATATAAAAGTTGTTCTCTTTCAGGTTTTTTAAACAGTTCGAGACTGATTTCTTTTTTCCATATATCATTTATGCTATTACAATTATAGAGATTCTGTATTGATAAATTCTTTAGAATAAATAGTATTAATTCAGGCATAAGCCGATCAAGTAAATTAACTGCATGCATTTTATATGATTAGAAGAATTTTCAATCGAAAAATAAGGCTATTGTTAGCTAATATTTTCTTTTGATATATGCAAAAATTAAGATGTTATATAAACCTGTCTGGTGATCCACCTATTTTTTGTCGCACAATCTGTGACTTTTGAGCTGACGATCTCACGCAGTACCAAAGCTACAAGTGAGGATTTTATTTCTGAATTTCAGCTAACATTGCATCAATTTCAGCTAACATAGAATCTATTTCTATTGTCTGAGACTTTTGAGAATCCCGGACGGTTGGGACGCTAGCAGGTGTTTGGGGTTTTGAACCATTTGCCTCAGAAGCAGATTCATAGTCAGATTTGGGATCAGAGTCTTCTGATTCTGTATCACCTATAGCATAATTATTACTTGCATCAAGACGGTCAGATTCTTGCCTTAATATGATTCTCGAAAGCAGTTTAAGATGCTGGGGAATTGGGTTCTTACCACCATGGATTCTTAAAGCGTGTTTACTTCCATAATCTCTTAATTTTTTAGATATAGTTTTATAAGGTTCTTGCTTTAAGAATTTATTAAATAGCTAAGTATTACATGTTCCGCTTTCCATATAGATGGGATCACGTAACTTTCCTGCCTTAATTTCATCTTAGATCCAGATTAGTAATTCTCTGGCACGTTCTGGATTCTTCTCCATAGAAAGAAATGGTTGGGTCAGGATTTTCCTTTTTTTCTCCTTTGTTCTTTAAATAGCTAGTACAGTACTAAGAATAGCCCTCTTTATACCATAATAGAATGTTCGAAGAGTCCAGTTCATAGATATTGATCTGAAGAGATCTTACTTCCGCAGGTCTCATACTTAACATTACTATCACATCCGCAAGATTCTCTCTAGTAGGAATTTTGGAAATATTCATGTTTTGAATCCTTTTACTCACATTTGCTAAGGAGAAATATATGGGAATTCTATCTGAATTAGCCTTTCGCATTTTAGTTCGTTCTTTCTGAATTTTATTAGAATCTTGGATAAGATCCTTGTCTTTGGCAAATTCTTCAATAATTGTAAGATCTACACCACCTTTTGCTAACTTTACATGTAATGTTGACTGACGTGAGATACTGGCAATGATTTTATTTTTATTTTTATTTTTTGGATCTACTGCCCAATAATTAGCGATAATGTCTACAAAATCACCAGTCTTAACACAGTATTCTGCCCTTCCCTCAATGGTGAGTTTTTTTCTTTCTCTTATCTGATAACAGAGCCTCTATCTGCTCTTTACTAAATGAGCGTCTATTATCAGTGCTTCTGTTATTAGTGCCTCTGGCAAGAGCAACTTTAACATACCTGCGAGCCATCTAATCAGAAAGCAAAGTATCAAGTTCGGGAGCATGTTTGCTTAATTGTTCTGGGGTGAGGTCAGCCATCAAATTATATTTTTTTAGGAACTGCTTTAAGACTAATGCAAGTTATTATCTTTAGGTTTTTGAGTTTTTGGGGTAGCCATTTTAATAGCTATGTCAATGGTAACTGTTATCTAGTTATACAGTGAACTCTTGATATAACGAATTCTAGGATCTGGATATCAACTTCGTTATAAGCTTATAACGAATTTTTTAAAGAATTTAATTGGCTAGTTCACTATAGTAAGGTAATTTTAATATATTTGATTTAAAAATTCGCTGTATCAAGGGTTCGCTATATCAAGGTTTGACTGTATTATGTGAGAAAAAATTCAATTCAAAAAAATTCCTTAATTCCGGACAGCGCTAAAGCAAAGGAATTTTAAATATCTATAATAAAAGTGAAGATGAAGTTTTAAGATTATTAATATCAAAATTACCTTGTATAGATCGTCTATCCTATCAATACATCAAGAAAGATAGTTTGATTTGTGAAAAAGGATACTGGCGTACTTCAGGATGTGCTAGACATTATAAAGCTCGTCCTAAAATAATATGCCCTGTCTGTGATGAAAAAACCTATTCTCACATCGGAATATGTAGCACACATAGTGGAATTTATGATCATGTCTGACGTGAAAGTAAAAAAACTAAAATAAAATCGACCCCTTTGGGATTATCTGATATAGTCAAAATACTTGGTTGAATAATAAATAATCTGAAGTATTATTTTTCTGCCTTATAGAATCAAAAAGTTCTTGAATCTCGTTATCTGCTTTTGGCCTATATAGTGGAAGCTCTGGTGTATCTTTATCTTCAAAACCAAGACCTTTATATAGCCAGCAATTGATTCAATATGAGTATTGCCTAACTTGTTGTCCTTTAGGTCCTATTCTTTTTTTTATCACTTTCAACAGTATACCCACACCAATTGCCAGCAATTGTATTAATTGTTTTTATAGTTGAATGAAGATCTGATATTTCTTTTGCATGAGATTTAAAGCCAAAAAGTAATAAAAACTGATTTCAGATTTCTATAAACCTTTCACATGATTGCTTGAATGATTCTGATATTATACTACCAGAAAGGATATGCTTATCATCTATACCGGTAAAGCCTAGTATTTGAAAGAATTCTCTATAAACTTCCAATGGTTAGATGAATATGATTTGTGCAAGTCTTCTGCTATTGATTTCTCAATATTCTCATTAGCTTTATAATGAGTATCTTCCTATTGTGCAATATCTTTGGCCCCTAACCCTTTTATTGCATTTTTCTCATCATAGCCTTGCTTTCGAAAGTGAGATAAGTATAAGAAATGTTTCTGAAGTTCAGGCAGGCTAAAATGTTTTACAAACTTCTTATTGCAAAGATTATTCCAAATCTCATTATCCATATCTTTACCACCATAAATATTTCGCATATAAAAACATTTAAGTTTCATAGTATTTGAGATAGAGCGTTCTTGGTCAAACTTAAGATTTTCAGCTTCTTTAGGATCAAGATTCCAAAAAGTGGCAACTGCCTCAAAATCCGTTTTCTTGATAACTAATACTTTAACCCTAACCTCATTGCAAATCCTTTTACGATTCTCTATAACTTCTTGACTTTTATCTATTTTTATAAGTTGAAAAGAAGCATCTGTACTAGCTATATAACTGCATGATATCACAATAAAATTTCTTACAGAAAGATGTTTCTGATGCTCAACTTTGAGGTATGATATTATGGCAGATGATCAATCAAGTTTATATGATACAATATTTTTATCACATTCGCGATGTCCTCTTATTGCTGTTGGCAAATCATTAGATCTAGCATTTTTGAGTTCAGCACGAATATTTTTATAACCTGGTAGGCGAAAAAGCTCATTGAATTTTTTTGATAATAGAGGGATAGTATGCGCTTTTTACAATCACGAATCTGAAACATTATCTGAATAAAGGCTTCAACATTAACTGGAGTTACAATATTTGTAATTCCTATAACTGCATCAAAATGATCAATCTTTTCAAAAGATATGCCTGCTTCTACTGTACTTGTATAAGCTACACAATCAAGTTCACCTCAAGAGTATTTATATCTGAAAAATCCTTTTTTCATTATTTTCCATCTATATTCTCATAATAAGCACAGGCTCTAATAGAAGAATTATCAGGTCTTTGCAATTTAGAGGCTTTTTCTGCCAATACTTGGACTATACTGCAACTTGTTAGAATGAATGCCACACGCTTGCCCTGCTGTAATAACTCATATCCTATTTGCATAGCTTTAGCCCCACTATTTGGATCATAAAGATACTCAACAGATTTACCTAAAAGGGGTTGAAATTTATTATCAATTACTCGAATATTTTCATTGCGATAAGCTTTAAGAAAGGTTAGAGTTGATTCATTTATGAATGCATCCATTGCAAATACATGTGGGCTGTTTTTAATATATCACACATCGCATTCTCAGATTCTCATGCATTTATATCACTACTCATTTGGCGATTAATTGCATTGATTTCATCTAAAATAGCTATAATTGGATATGCTGAGAACTCTATATGAGAAAAACTCTCAACTTGGACTATAATAATATCCCACTTATCTACAGATAAGTTTTGTTCATCTTGATAATTACAGATTCTAAGCCCGGATAATTTAAGATCATTAATTTTACCCTGCAATTCATTACTAAGTGTTTTTCGGTAAGAAATCCAAACAATGCATAGCAAACTAGCTTTATTCCTGGCTAAGGAATTGAAATATTTTCTTAACCTTTTTGTTTTTCCTGTCATCATAGGGGAATGAATTAGAGTTATACTGGTCTCTTCTCTCAAGAAGTCAGGATAAGCTTCTGAAAAATCCTTTATCTCCTTTATGTTAATAGCTTCTTCAGATAGTTCAGGAAGTGAGTATGGATTTGATATGGCATTAGCTATTCTTTCAGCTATTCCTCGCTTAGGTATTATGAGAATTTTAGTTGCTTCTCCAAATACCAAACCTTTATAGTCTGGCTTATATTGTATATGTTATTTTTAGTTGCATTTTAACATATAAACATTAAATTATATATGTAATTTTGATTGCAATTTTTATACATTTAATCATTAAATAAATATAATTTTTCGAAATTAAAAAAAATTTTTATTAAAAAAAAAAATATAAAAATAAAATAAATATAAAATAAAAATTAAAAATTAAATTAAAATTAATGTTTCCTCAGCGAAAAACTTCTCCTTTGTGAAGAATATGACCCCTTCTGTATCTTCAGGAATGAGATCTACGATCCATTGAATGACGGTGGAAATGTGATCTATGATCCTATGAATGACGACGGTGAAAATGGGATCTATGATCCTGAAAATGATCACAAGAATGGAATCTACAATCCTGACAAGAACGAAATCTATATCGGTACTGGTATCAGCAGCAGTCTACATTCTGTCTTCTATACCGATGACGATTTACGTCTAAAATAATAAAAAATAATAAATAAATTAAAAAATTGAAGTTTTAAAAAGTAAAAAATATATTTCTTATTACTATTATTCAATAAATAATTACCAGTTCGAAGCCAAAATTCATCACTCAACTCTGCATGAAATATCTGATTATGCAGAGTTGGGTTTGTTATTAGTTGGTTGTGAGGATTCTCCTCACTTTCCAACCTCTTGAGATTTTCATACCCATATTTTAATGAGTAACATTTTCTTTGACATTGAGAGGAAGAAGCGGCGAACCCTCTATTAATAAACAATCGATTGGATATAGTTCTCCATATCCTTTCATGATAATTGTTTGAAACGAACTCAAAATCATCATGATTATTGCGTCTTAAACGAATTAATTATCTTGCAGCTTCGACCGTCCATTCAAATGGAACTATAGCGGGAGCAGTCAAAGCCATAACTGTACATAAAGTTAAAATGAAAACCCAAAAATCGAAATGCTTCGACTTTGGAGGTCAAAGTCGAAATAAAAAGTCGAAATGATCGAATTACGTCATATCACATGATTTTTTATATATAGAAAAAACAAAAAAAAACAAAAAATATACGATCTCGTTCAATATTACACCGATTTGTATGAAACAACTACCATTCGATTCCTCGCGACTAGACGAATCCAATGAGCTAACAATCATTGAATTTGGATCATCCCATTTCGAGATATTTGTGATCATATTTCAAAATCTGGACTTCTTTATTTAAAGTAGAATTTATTGATTCATAATTTTGGCCGATAATACAATTGCGATTATCTCGCGATTGGATGATTCAAAATCAATGAATGTTAGCTCATTGGATTCGTTAAGTCGCGGGGAATCGAATGGTAGTTGTTTCATACGAATCGGTGTAATATTGACCGAGATCATACATCTTTTGTTTTTTTTTTTTCTATATATAAAAAATCATGTGATATGACGTAATTTCAAAGTCGAAACATTTCGACTTTTGGGTTTTCATTTCGACTTCATGTATAATCTTGACCAGTCTAAGCTTTATAATAGAAATTAGCCATTTACTTATATGTGAATAGCTAATTTGTGATTTTAAAGGTAACGCAAAATATTTTGTTTTATAATTAGGATGAAGAAACCAGAAAAAAAAATTAAAAAAAGATTATTCCTACAATTCCCATCTTTTTTGTAATCATATTAAAATTTTTTCAGCCAGATTTCTATTTGAATATTTTTACCAAAATTGATATAAATAACCAAAATAATACAAAACTTCATGTAATTGTATTTTGTCAGTTTGTAAAATATTAAGCGTATAATAATAAGGAATTAAAAGTTATTCTAATTTTACTAATAATTCCCAAAAAGTTTCATTCATAATTATTAAATATAGATTGCGTAAAATTACTAATAGATCTGTTAGACGTTGACGTTTAATTAAAGGAGTTGAAGATTCAAATTTTGTAGCTAAGAATATTATACAATTATTAAAATAATAAATTACTTTTAATTAAATCATTAAAATTATATAAAAATAATTACCTGTAAAGCATTCTTAATAGTATTTAAACTTTTACAGCAACTAAGATAACTATTCTATCTAATATCTCCTAGAATTGAAGGTTGAATATGTTTTTCATAAATTTCTTTTTGAATATCTCTAAGTTAACTGATAAAATATTTGTAATTAGCATTTTTAAAATATATAGCTATTTTTAATGCTTGATCTGATGTTATTTTAAAATCTGATGAAATTTTAAAAATTTCTCTAACACATAAATTTATCTGATGTGCAAAGCAAGATAAAAAATAATATTATGATATTTAATTCGAAGTCTTTTTCTAATTAATAATTATAATAAATAAAATTATAAATTAAATATATAACAATTATATAATATAATAATAATTAATTAGTTAAATACTGTACTGCATAATAAGTAGGAATGCTATTTGAAATGATAGCTAAAAGTGATATATTGAATTCATTCACTTTGAATATCATTTCTTTTGTTTTTAATATAATTTTAATAGTTGTTTTACATTCATTACTTACATTTACAGCTTGCTATACATAAGGTTATCTATTAGAAGTCATAAGTACAATTTCTATTAATTCTTGCTTATGAACATTTGTTCATTCATCAAAAAAACATAATAACACATACTCAATCTAACTTTAATTTTCTATTATTGTATTATCAAGTTCTTTAGTTGTTTCATGTAAAATTCCATTAGATAATATTTTTCTATCTAGTAATTTAATATTTGGATTAATAAATCAAAATAATTCAATAACTTTTAAATTATTTATCCAAGATAATGAAAAACTACAAGAAATAGTAACATGCAATAATAGATAATAAATTTTTTTTTATCTGTATTAGAAAAAGAGCGTGCAATATATGTATCTAAAGATCTATAATTTGACCAATTAGAAGGAAAAGAAGATAAGAATGAGTGAAATGTTATTGATTTTCTTCGTAATGATAATATTTGTGAATTATTAAGAAAAGATGATGCTGATTCTTTGATTTGATAGATTATTTTCTATTAATAATATATATCAATATTAATTATAAAATAAAATAATATTGTGAACGAATAAAATATGATAGGACTTACATAACGCAAATGATTGACAAATCTGACAAATCTAACAAATCTGGCATTTCTGACATGTCTGACATATATGATATATCTGACATAATCGATAAATAAGATATATTTGATGGATTCGACATACAGTCCCAGCCAAAAGTAATGGCGGTTGGGATAATACTTAATTTTTTAATTGTAATATCTCTATTATTCTGATT